ATGTCTCTGCAGAGAAGCCGCAACACTGAACGAAATATCTTCTTGGCCGCAATTTATAACACTTCTAGTGGGCCAAGCTGCATCATTTGTTTAAAATTATTACTACATATTAATTTTCAAACTGACCAGGCACCTCGACTTCAGTCACTGTCACCAACATGACGTGGCTTCCTTGTTTTTTTTTTTTTCTACAAATATTTTCATGACACCTGCTCTGACAAGCTTCCCATCCCTCCAGATGCCCCGACTACATGAGTTTAAGAATGCTAGTAGATTGGCTTCTAGGTCTCCTCACCCCTTTACTGTAGAAATAACTGAATGCAACCGCTACTTCTACTCCAACAGTTTTTCTTGCACTTCCCGCCTGTGGAACTCCTTCCCGTTTACTTGCTTCCCTGATAAGTACAATCTTCAAAAGATTAAATGCAACGTCAATCGCCACCTTCTGTCTTCCTGAACTCCCGTTCATCATTTTTCAGTCTTCTCTTACGAGAGGATCAGATAAAAAAAAAAAAAAATAATAAAAATCTTTAATACTGACCGTCATTTATCGAGTAAGGTTTACTGTAGGAGAGACCATTTGTTTTACACGAATTCAAAGAATTTATAGTTCTTGTTTACAAAACCAGAGTCAAAGACAACGGAATAAAAAGAACTAATGAAAGCCAAAAAGAAGGAATGGCAAACCAAAAACGTTGCTTTCAATGAGGTTAAAAGAAAGAGAGATACAATCAACAAATCCAATAGTTGAATACAGACATTTAAAAATTTCTGAGTTTGGATTTCAAAATTACTGTAAAAAGAAAAGTCATTAGTTACAAACCGAAAGTTCCAACGCTTTAAGTTTTACAACTACGATCTAGAGAAATAGTTACCTAAATGTCATATGTACTCAAAACAACTGACTGTTGCTGAATTCATTGACCGTGACAAGAAATTCGACTGGTAAGAAGTAGGTCACTGAGACTAAACAGAGAAATGAAGAGACTATATATATATATATATATATATATATATATATATATATATATATTTTCATACACGTTTCATTAAATAATATAGACAAGTGTTGTCTATTTATTTTATGTAAATTTTTTCATAAATTTAATAACATTATCGTTGAACGAAGAAAAATTCACAATATTGATCCATATTTTTTTTTCCTACAATCTAAGCTTTCGGCTTAAATAAGCCATTATCAAAATATGTCAATTACAAAATATTAAGCAATATACGGACAAGACAGTGATGATAGTCTGTCATTGTTTACATAGATGATTTCTAAGCAACGATAAACACGTGCATATAAGACGCTAGAAGCGAAAATCGCACCGCATCTCATGACATCACACATGATCGCTCGAGAGTGAATTGGAGAAGCATGAAGTATGGAAAGCCGTTGGTATAAACCAATGGCTTCTGTTACCAATTATAGACATTTAAGGATATTTGTAGAGATTACATAAAATGATTTTGTTTAGGTTGGGTTTCAACTGTTTGATGTATAATGCTTCAAGGATTTTTAGTTTTTGTCTATTGTTTTTCATGTCGAAGTATAATTGTGTTTTTTCGACAAGTATTTTACGGAATTGTATGTGCGGACAGGCATGTTATTTTAAATGCCTAAAATACATTATATATATATATATATATATATATATATATATATAAAAAGTCCTCAATTTATTCGAAGTTTTTTTTGTCTAAGGTTACTAAGACGCAAGGCGAAAGAGAAAGAAAAGATTTTTTAGAAGAAACCAGAAACCTAATAATAGTACAACTTCAGCGTTTATGTTAGAAGTATGGCGTTGAAGCAGAATTTAGAAGGGACCGGAAATCCAATCCTAAACAGGAAACAATGTTGTTGAAAAGACCGGGGGAAGCGTGTGAACCGGACGATTGACGAACCTATCTACTCCTAAGAATTCCCTTACTATTGTAATACTAATAGTCAACCTGAACATGACTGGATCGAGAAGAAAAGAATGAGACACTAGATTAAGCTATGCTTCCATCTATCACTGTAATAGGCATACTGAAATAAACTTACTTAAAAGTAAAAGGATAAGGTGGTTTTTAGTCAACAAAACATTTTTATACAAAGTTTATAATTGTTTACCATGAGTTGTTAATAAGAGTGTACGTGTGTGATACCATAAGTGCAGTTAGTTTTTTATGGTAGAATTTAGTACTTTAAATGTGTGATTAAGTTGTTCAGTAATATTTGATTGTGCGAAGAATCATTCTTTAGTGATTCTCTTTCCTTAATTGGAGTGAGACATCATAGACAGTTTAGGTACCTGCAAAAATTCGCTAAAAAAGGATACATGATGAAAAAAATGCTCCAAACAAAGTTTATCGTCAAAACCTTTGTGTCATTAAGAGAAAGGATTTTTTTATGTTAAAAATATATTACTTATTCTTTTTAAAATCCTGGAAGTTTTAGTCACAAATCTTTAACGTCAAAAGTAAACGGACCTCGTGTACAGGAAATTTAAGCTTTTGATTGGGAAATTCTTTAAAAAAAAAAAAAAATAAAATAAAAAAATAAAAATAATTAGATAATTGTCAGATTTTTATGAAACTTCAGAAATTATTCAGAAATGAACCATTTTTTTTTTGTTTTATTAAATCTTTGCAAAATTGTTTAATTTTTTTTATCGGCCACTCATTTAATTTTTATGAAATTTCGAGAAATGCATTTTTGTATCGCATGTTTATATTTTTTATAAGGACAAGTCTTCTGGGAATGTCAAAATGTTTTTGTCAAACAGGCAGTATCCCCTAGCTACAGAAAATCTACCCTGAATCGTGAAATAAAATTAAAACATGCAAAGTTAAAACATTTTTAGTAAATTTCTTAATTGTTTTTATGAATACAATATGGGCACTATTGTCTTAAGAAAAAAAATGATGAATAATGAATTTTTACAAGGATTGTTTTCATTTTTGTTTAATTATAATTTATAAACTTTTGCAGCTTTTAAAAATCTACATTAATTTGTAGCAGCCAAGTGATATTGTTATTAAATTAAAACCATATGTAACTAATAAATGGAAAAGCTTACGTTTAATTCAACTCTCAAGATATATATATATATATATATAAAATGCATCCACTTTAAATTTCAAACATTAGGCTGTCAATAAAACAACACCTCAGAAAAATAATCACTCTGGATTAAAGAAAAAGTACTATTTTTGCTATATTTTTTAAAATTAAAACGTAATATTTGTTCTAATTCAGAAACTTTAAACTAGCTAATTTTCCTTAATGTCCCCAAAAATTTTATTTTTTGAAAGATTTTTTTTAAATGAAAGATAATTATTTTATGTTGACTGATCTGTGAACAAAAGGACAAAAAACAATTAAAAATATACCACCCAAAGTATTTTGCTTGAGAATATTAAATTTAATCTGTTAACTTGTGATTAATTAAAGGAAAGCTATAGAAGGTATTTTTCTAAATGCATTTTAAAATTATCGTTTTTTTTTTTTTTAAAGTACGTACTTAATTGACAGAGCGATCGAACTCGGAGAATGTCCCGCTGCCTGATGTGGGCCAATTAAAACTTAAATCAGGAGTGGATCAAGTCACCGCCTTTGTCGAACGCAAAATTGCTATTTTAATAAAATGTTTCCAACACGACCCGGAATAATACGCAGAATTTATTTTTTTTACGCATTTCTCTCATCGTTGTGGTAGTGTAAATTTCTGGCTAGGATTTCCGGCAACGTCCCACATGACTATTACCAACGGCAAAAGAATTAACAGGCCACAGCACGTCGTAAGGTAAATTGCAGCGGTCAAAAAAATTAAACGGAATATCGACTTGTTGGAAATGAATTCTGTCGCAGTGAGAGAAACTGGTGATAGTTTGGTGACAGAATATACGCACTGCGATCAAGTAGGTGAATTAAAAAACAGAAACGAACGAAAACTTATGTGAATTGACAGATAAGTAAATATTAATATTCATAATTATGATTTAACCAAGGTAGACGAATTTTTAAAACTATACTGAAAAAGAAAGTAATTTGGATTCTTTAAGTAGACGTCTAGGTGGGTGGAATTACTACACAGTACACTTCACACAAAGAAAAATATCTGCAGGCATCGTTTGTAGATTTCGTAACTTGATTTGGCCTAGTACACATACTGAAACAAAGTCAAGAAGAGTCATATGGCAGTTTGAGTTAACAGCACAAGAAAAAAAAAATAAAAATAAAAATTAGTTAATTTTGTTTTATTTATTACAGAAGCAAACGTGAAAAATCAGTGGCCACACCCATGTTCTCTAGCGTTTTTACAAGGTTGCGAATTAGTTTGAGGATATGTTGTCAAACCAGTAGTGGAATACTAAAAAAAACTACTTTTTAGAGCGTACATAGGAAGAAAATAGAAATAGAGTATTTATACAGCAGTAGGTTACTAGTAGTATTCACTTTGCACTCTAACATTTAAAAAAAATTAACTAACCAAATACCCTCGAAATAAATACGACGAAAAAGTTAAGACTGCTTTGGTCAATGAAGAAAGAAAAGAACCTGGTCGGTATCATCAAAAATGGATGCGTTTTTTCCGAAATGAAAGCAAAAAATCGTTACCCAGTTTTAAAAAATTTTCAAAAGAGTTATTCGACTTAAAAGAAATTTTCAATAATTACCCATTAATGACTGAATTGTACACTGAATGAATCAGGGTATGAGAAAAAAATGTTTTTTGGGGGGCAGTTTCAATCCCTTTTCAATATCTTGTGTGTACTTTTAATTGGGGGGCGAAAATTTTTTAGAGTTATATAAAGAAAAATTATAAATACCTGAAGATGTTATTTCAAAAAAAAAAAAAAAAAAAAAAAAATTAATGCAATATTAGTACTGAAAAGTGAAAATTCATACCGAACCTCACTAATTATAATTCAATAATAATAATAATAATAAAATGATTATTTTTTTAAAAAGGTTGGCGCACAAGAATTATATAAAGAACAGGACTTACATGCATCCTGATTTTGTTTAGGCGACTGACAATCCGAGATAAACAGCGGTAATAAGAGCTGTTGAATCGATGAAAATTGAAAACTATTTTAAGCTCGGTGCTTTAGCGGTTAGCAGTATAACTAATAAAAGTAATTTACCACGTGCCTTACACTGACCAATCAAAATTCGCACAGAGTTACGTCGTCTGTTCACAGGATCAGACACCATTAAGAAGAGATTTTATTCGAGTTTATTTTACTTTTTTTCCCCCAAAACACATTACTTTATTCATTTTTTTCATGTAACAACAAACAAAAGATATTTATTCACATTCTTTCAAAAGTTCACAGCTTTAAAACGTTTTTCCCCTTCTTTTCTTTCACTGTATAAAAAATTCCAAATTTAATTTTACATTTACATAGCTGTAGTGATGACGTGGATGTCCCACTTTGCGTTGTTTTTTTATAAACTAAATTAAAAATATTTATTACTCATTTTATCATACCAGGTTTGTCCGAAACAAAATAGTAATACTCAACTTAAGAAATTACTTGTTCATGGATGAACAAATAAAAGTTACTGCCTGGAAAAATAAAGTCTAAAATGTTTAATAAGTAGAAACCCATTAAAAAATAAAATAAAATAAAGAAAAGCCCATTAAAAAAATAAAAATAAAGTCTAAAATGTTTAATAAGCAGAATCCCATTAAAATTAAATTGATGAAAATGTTAAAATATCAAACATTTAAATAGCTATAAATTAACTGTAAAAATAAACAAATGAATATTGCAAGGAATTTAATATTTTATAATTTTTTGAGGATTATTTATTCAGTCTTTTGAAGTAAGTTTTTACAAATTTACAAAAGCCTTCTTTTTTTTTTTTTTTAAATTAAATCAAAGAAAGACGAAAGCAATGTTTTAAATTGTATAAGTTTTCTTTTGAATGATTAAGTTCGGTTCTGATGAGCGTCTTTATTGTTTTTAAAATGTTTGTGTGTCGGGAGAGTTTACAGACATTAAAAATTATCCTTCTTTTTGTACAGAGTCACAATAAATGCAACTCTTAATGTGGATCCAGCTCAGAAAAAAAGCTAGTTTACTAGCCACTGTACAGACAGAAAATGAAGGGTTTCTCCTACGTTATCTTGTATATTGTCGAATGATATTAATTAAAATTTTTAAAAGGGAGTTCTTAAAATTTTTCTTAAACTGTCCAAAATAACAATGGCTAGTTTAGGTACCACCAAAATGGATGTTTTTTTTTTTCGAAATGAAAGCAAAACATCTCTCCCCATGTATTAAAATATTTGCCAAAAATAAAGGAATTATCCGAATCAACCGGACATGTTAGTACTTATTCATTAATGAATGAATTATATATTGAATAGCTTATTTTCTTAAAAAAGGTTTGTGGAACTATTTTTGAGGATCAGTTTCGCGATATCACTTGTGCACTTTTTAATTTGGAGAGGGGCTGTTCGTCAAATCTTTTTTAGTTATATTGTAGGTTTACTTTTATTATTATTATTATTATTATTATTATTATTATTATTATTATTATTATTATTATCATAAATAAATAAATATAAAATATAAAATAATAATAATAATGAAAATTATAAATAAAATAAAACAATAACATAAAAACGTTGTATAAAATAAATAAAAATGAAAAATAAAAATACTCTCTTCGCCACGAACCTTGGTACGGGCAACACGTGTGTAACGTCTGTCTATGATATGGCTTGTGTAAATTCTCCCTTTTATCACATGTGCCATAAAATAATTGTAACCTAGCACACACACACACACACACACACACACACACACACACACACACACACACACACACCAATATACATAAAATATAAATAAACTGTATGAAATTAACATACAATTTACCATGCTTTTCCTGTTATTTGCGTACGTTTTATTTTCTATCAAGTATGCTCTTATCTCCGTGAACACGCGGCTAGTTTCTGCTGCTATGATATTAGTGAATCCCTATAACATTATGGTGACTGCTGACGTGCATAACAAAGGCAACTTATTCACCCACAATATAAAGAACAATCCCTGAAGATATTACTTCAGTAAAAAGTTTATGCAATATAAAGCGTGAACATATAGAAATTTTGTCCTGAATCTTACCAAAAATAATTAAATAAAACTCAAGAAATATTTTTCTGACAATTGGTGCTTGCATAATTGAATAAAACACGTTATTCTCTTTAAGATTGGACAGAAAAAACTACACTTAAAATTTATTTAAAAAACTTTCTTGTAATTTGTCAGTTTGATTTTGAAATTCATTCCGTTGCTGTTCGAAAGAAGAGTTATTTTTATTAAAGTAAAGACATATTTAAAGTATCGAAAGTTTTAATTTAATACCATTTCCAAGCGTGAACATTCTTTTAAAAGAATTTTAATTTGTTAGATTATTTTTAGTATGGATGTTCAAAAAGGAAATAATTCTGAATTACAGTCTTTTACCACGTTTCCTTATCGGAAGAGTAATATGGTATATGATAATTCAATAACTCCTAAATTCAGAATAATTACAAAAACCACATTGGGCGCAATTAGATATTTTATAACATTCAACGGGTAAGAAATTAAAAAGAAAAGCAATGTATTAATACCCAAAGTATCATTTAACTAAATAAAAAAAACTATTATTTAATGTAGTATAAAAACATAAAAATTATTAACTTTATTAAGTTTCATAAAATGGAGTAAAAGTTAATTTTAAACTAATAATTATATAAGGTAAAAGATAATTTATTTTTAAACATAAATATCAAAGTCTTGATTATTGTACAGCTGGTGTTCTGTATTTCTTTAAGTTTTATTTTTGATTTTTGGCGCGCTTTTTGGGTGTGATCATACATTTTTTTTACTTATGGCACAAAAAGGATATCGTGCGTAAATAAACGTTATTTTCTTTAAAGGTTAAATAAAAGGTAAACATTACTTTTACAGAATCCAGTTAATTAATCCTAAAATTTACTAAATAACTTCGAAACATCTCTATAGTAAATATTTGATTATTAGGAAATTTTTTAATTTGTGGTTTACATTTTTTGCCAGGATGGCGGTTCAATGAGTGAACGTGTCAATGTTTTAAAATGGCTAAAAATTTGATTTATGTGCAGAAATTAATTTTTTTAATCGTAACATCAAGACAGTTATATTGGAAATAGTTACTTTAATCTTTACTCGATTTAAATATAACAAAATATTGCCAAATTTTATTTAAAAACATTTAAAAGTGTATTTTTATAACATCGATGGTTCATCTCAATCAATACGAGACAAAAGTCAATTTGGATGGGTGGATTGTATTACAGCGACGAAAAATCAGGCTGACAGCTTTAGACTGAATTGTTTCCGTTTATAAGTATGACGGCCCGTAATATAAACAAATCAGTATTTTATTTTTTGTAGTAAGTAAACTAATTATTTCCCTGTATTTTTCTTTGTTGAGCATGATTTTTTTTAGTTAAGCTATCGTTACTTTTAAAAAGTTCATTCTTGAACACATTCTGTCGCATAAAATGTTGATTATAAGAATGCAAGAAAAACATTTACGATGTTTTGGTCTCAAATAATAAATATTTTTAGAGAAAATGATTATTATGATATTTAAAGAAATAAAATTTCCACTGTGAAAAATTTAGTAAGTGTTATGATAGTCCAAGTAGGGATTGCATTTGTATGCAATCAGTATTGGTTCTACAGTCCAAGTACCATTGTATTTCGACGGGTGCTCATGTCGCATCAAAATGTGACACAAAGGTCGAGTTTTTAATGTGGATTTATCGGCAGTACCGTACAAAGTCTGGGCGTTTTTCCTGAGGGGGTCGTCTATTAATCCTTTTAGATTTGTTTGTGATCATATAAGGGCCTCACATAGTTGAACATTTCTTAAAAATAGAAAAGATAATCACAGAGAATCTCCCATCATTAAATTGATATTTGTTTTGTCCATTTAATTATGAACTTTAAATATTGATTGATGTACGAATTTTTTTTTTCTATCAATGAATTTCATTGAAATCTTGTTTTTTTTTTTTCACTATTCTTTATTGTTATTCCATATAATCTGCGTTAAAAAACCAAAGAATTTACCTAATGTTTTCTTGTATATTTACCATTAATTTTTATCTCGTATGTTAAAATCTAAATGTGGGGTAATAGTTAACGTGTTTTTTTTTGGTTGACCATTAGCAGCTAGTTCGATCCTCACAGGGTGCCTCATATAAAATTCGATATCAAATAACCCAACAAAGTTTGACATGTTGTAAAACTAACCATTATTACAGAGTTGTGAGTTCAATCCTCACTGGGTGCTTGAAAAGAAAATTCGACGTTAAATAACTGAATAAAGGTTGATATGTCGTAAAATGAACCAAACAGCCATTGTGTCCATTCGTGTTTTTTTTAATCATTTAAATCACCCCAAGTGTCTTGCTTAAGGTGATATGATTTTAAAAAAGGTAAGGTGATAATGCCGCTAAGACGCAAGAGGGGTACTAAGAGTGAAAGAAAATGAGAAAACACTAGTGAGAAGGAAGAACAATAAAAGAACAGTATTCAGAAAGATAAAAGATGACGACTGGTGTTGCATTTAAATTTTTGAAGATCGAAGTTGACAAGAAAGCAAGTTCCACAGGCAAGAAGCACGAGAGAAGAAACTATTAGAATAGAACTTATGGTTGCATCTAGTTATTTGAACAGTAAAATAATAAGACAGTTGCTTAAATTCATGGCGTCGAGGTACCAAAGAAGAAAGTTCATAAGAACAATTGTCATGAAAATATTTTATAGAAAAGACACAGGGAAGTCACGTTAAGGCGGTGGGAAAGTGACTGAAATTAAATTTTGTTATTGAATTTCAAAGTTTTTTTTTCAGATTGTTTCATTAAATATTAGATTTTTTTTAGTTGGAGTCAGAACAAAATAATTTTTATTCAAGTATTAAATTCAATTTTTTTTTCTCGGATTTATGATAATAAAGATT